AGGAGCCACTCAGCAACAATACTGAAGCAAGAATGCTTGCTTCAGATAGTTTCTACATTCGTTTGTTCCTTTGCTGATGGCATATCAAACATGGTTTTCCCAGGAATGTGCTAGACTTTGAGAAAACAAACTAAGTTCCTATCCTCTTGGAGCTCACAGCCTAAGTGCAGGTGACAGGCACCATGCCTCTGAGTCATTGTGAAGCACAATTCATGACAGACTGCCACGTCATCTGTTGTCAAACCCTAAGATCTCAGCTGGACTTAATTATATCAGTGTTCTGAGGAGAGAGGGTGGGGAGTGAAGATGTTATCCTCCCTAGAGTTACAGCAAAAATTTCTTAGTGTGAACTTGGCCATCTGTGTGTACTAGAGGACATGTCAAGTCTGTTCCAAAGTGGGCCTGAGGTTGTTCCATCTGTTCCCCTTAACTCTGGCACCTGTCTCCCATTCTTTTTTTTTTATTTGTTTGTTTTAATGTATTTGGTACAGGGTCTCACTATGCAGATCAGACTCAGTGATCTTCCTGTTTTCAGCCTCTGCAGAGCTGGAATTACAGGTGTGCTCCCAGTCTCAGTCACTGGCTGGAGTGGTGGCAGGGGGGCACAGCATATGGTACCCTTCTATTCTGCATATTCTAGGTTACTTCTCTGTCTACCTCATCTCTTCAGCTGCAGTGTGACCTGCCACCAATTATCTGAGCCTTTGGCCATCACTTTCGTCAGCACTGCAGCATCTCTTCTGCACCCCCCAAAATCAAGCCAGCACTCCTCACCCTGCATTGGAGTGATGATGAGATTTACTCCCCACAGCTTGCCCCAGAAGGCTCTCTTATCCCTGGGAACACCCCAGCATTCACCCGATTGCCTCTCCACTTCTCATCAAATCCTTTCTTACTCATCCCTGCAGCTTCTGCTAGACCAATGCTGCTCCTACTTTTCTGTGTGTTCAGATCACCTGGGGAGGCTGAAACCTTACCCTTGTCCAGAATTCACCCACACCAATAGAGTCAGTCCCCAGGGTGAGATCCAGGGATGAAGTGTTTGGGTATTTTTCAAAATTGTTCAGGTGAGTCTGCTGTGCAACCAAGGTGGAGAAACAGAGTTAATTAGCCTTTAGTTGTTCTTTAATCACTTCACCCTGCTAAGATATTATCCCCAGGGCTTGTTTTAGTTTCCTGGATAGGGTGATGATACAGGTATTGTCCAGCTCAGCTCTGGGAGCTCCCAGCCGAGACTCTTGGCAATGGCAGTTTGTTAGAATTTTTAACAGCTTTCTTTTTCACCTCCTCCCATAGCTGTCTGCTCAACATCTGCTTCTCAGTCTTGTGGTTTCTCTCCACTCTTCTAGGTTTTCTCTGTTCTTCATTGTGCCCTCTTCAAACCACCTCCGCCATCTACCAGCAAACTACCCTGTCTTGGGCCTTATTCCCTTTTTCCAGAGATATTGGGAATAAGCTTGGATAGCCTGCTAAACTCAATATATGTAGAGTGCCTGGAAAGATGCTTGTGCTGCTGTTTTCTACAGTAGCAAAGAACAGGAAGGGTGTTAGCTTTGTATCACTATATTTGCTTTTCTCTTGTTGCTGGGACAAAATACCTGACACCCCAAGTTAAAGGAGGAATGGCTTATGTAGCTCAGTTTGTAGAGGTTTCAGTCTATAATCAGCTGTCTCCAAGGCAGAATGGCACATAGCAGGGGAACAACAGTTCATGACAGCAGAAATAGCAAAATCATTGAAAGTGAGACAAACCTCTTTCAGTCCTTTACATTGTATCCAGTCTACTGGGTTAGGGCAGTACCAATCCAATCAGTGGACTGAGACAGAAGTTACCCACTCTTAATCCCAGCATTACACCATCAGTCAGTCACACACTGTAGATTCTCCTACCTCCAAAAAAGATCCTATGACCACATGAGGCTTTGAGGGGACATCAGAACGCAAACAGTAATAATCACTATGACAAAATACCTGATATAAATGAGTTAAAGAAGGGTTTATTTTAGCTCAGTCTCAGAGATTTCTGTTTGTAGTTGGCTGGCTGCTTTGCTATAGACCTGTGGTGAGGGAGAATTTCACAGTACAGTGTGTGTAGTAAACTGCTCAAGTCATAGCAGGGAAATTCCTCCCAGGTTAGGATCCTGACTAACTCATCCCCAAAAGGGACTGGAGACCGAATATAATCTACAATGGCACACCCCCAGTAATCCAGCTCCTCCAAATAGGCCCCATCTCCTCAGAGCCCATTCGGTTGTGCATTCTTCAGTTGGTGAGGGGCTGGGGAGATGGCTCAGTAGAGTAAGCGCTTCCCTGGCAAGCACAAGGGCCTGAGTTCAATACCTGGTTCTGCCAAAAAAAAAAAAAAGGAATCATCAGTTGGTGAGGTTAGCACCTTCATGATCTAATCACATTTGTAGGCCCCACCTGGGAACACATGAGCCTTTCGGGTGATATTTACATCTAAAGCATAACAAAGGAGGAGTTATTTGGAGACTATTCAATAGGGGATTGAGGAAAAAAATGATAAATCACAATGCTATAGAAGATTATACACAATTAAAATATTTATGAAGAAGAGTTAGAGGCATGGCATACAAAGTTTATCGAAATAAGCTGCATGCAATATTAAATATAATATGTTGTGGAGAATCACTCAGACTGCTTCAAAGTTCAGAGGAGTCTAAGGACACCTGAGGACATGACTGCTTGTCTATCACAATTCCACAGTGGGATATTGTCATGTAACTATGACTTAGCACAGGTAAATACACATGTACTGGTTGCAGCACTGTAAGAATGTAAATATGAGATAACAACCTATATAAGAATTATACAATAAAGATGCAGGTGGCTCTTGCAGTCTTGTGCTATGCATTGAGCATGTTCTACTTTTGGAATTGGAGAAAAATGATTTAAGAAGATAAGCTGAGGGGATATTAATGTCAGGTAATAGCTTTTTGCATTAGTTCTGTTGTACAGCTTGTTGTATTAGGTAAATGTAAATGTAGAATTTACATTTCAGACAAGATGGAGTTGGTAGAAGTGGGTCCTAGGGTGGAGTCTGTAGGGGAACCATTTAGGGAAATAAGATTATTTAAAGAGAAGGCCTCTGAGAGGACCAGCCCAGGCAGCTGGCTCTCATAGTGTACATCCCAACAGTGAGGATCTTTGCCTTCCCCTGGCCCAGGATCTTCCTGGAACGTTACTGAGCCACCTGAAGGCCAGAACCCACTGATTAATTTCAGAGCACCACTGATGTTTTTCTCTATGCCCTCTTTGTATGTGGTTAACTTTTGATTGTACTTGTCTTGCCCTGATAGGAGCTAATAGAATAGTTATTCATTTTTGAGGCACCAGAGTGATGTCACTTACTATGATTCCAGGTATAATTTAACGACTTTTCTTGACCAATGACTTTTGGTTGGTTTTGTGTAGTCCACTAAAGGAGATAGTTTGCAGATGAAAGCTGCCTATACCTTAATAGAATAAAGCTGTAACATAACCAGAACGTACGTTGCATAACCATCAGCAAAATGTTCTCCCCAAAATGGAGGAAACATAATTTCAGCTTTTCTGTTTTGATTTGGTATATTTGAAGTTATGACAGGATACTTTCAGCTACAAATGTAGATACCTGATTTAAAATGGTCTAAAATAACAGGAATTTGTTAATTTTACATAACAAAAAGTTTAGATACTCATTCTAGGGTTGGTGGAATATTTATTGGGGTTGACAGTCACTCAAGGTACGGTATCTCCATTTTTCTTCTCTATTACCCTCAAAATCTCTAAAACCATGCCTTCCCTCCTCTCTTTCTTGGTCCTTAGATGACTGTCATAGCACCAGGCACCCTGTACTTACACAATGGCTTCCCAAGCTAGAAGGAAGAATGCCAGTAACACAAAAGGTCTTTTTCTCCCTCCTCCTACCCCCTAGGCTCTTAATAGACTTACCTCTCAGTGATCTAAATTGGGCTACATAGCTACCTCTGGAGCAGTCACAAACAGGGACTGCACACATCATCTTGAAACAAAGCTGGAGGTCTGTTAAAAGAGAGTATGGTGAATGGTTTGGGAAAGTAGTTCCTCCTATGGCCTTTAAAGTACTATTTACTGGTCCGGCAGAAATGGTGTTGCCCTAGTCACAAGCCATAATGGTACTCAGGATAGGCTGTTCTGCCAAGCATTCCTTCAATCAACCCTACACATCCATATTTGGTTTATAAATCCACAGAGCTTAACATAACCAGGTAGCACCTTGGCCTGGTCATTCACTGAAGAGGGCAACAAGAGGGTAAGCTGTGTAAGGACAGGACCCATGTCTGTTTCTGCTGTGGTGCTGGTCCGGCTTCATTATCTTGCATTCTGTGTGTCATGAATGAACAAGTTAATGACAAAAAGAAGTTAATGTCTCCGTTGAATGAGACTGAAAGCACAGTAGGTCTCCACTCTGTGAGTTATCTGGAGAAATAGAAGTTTGCCCTCTTCTCTAGGGAGTTTACAGTCTGACATTAAGGTGATAGCAAATGACCAGACCATTGTACACAAGCAGAGGAGAATCTTGGTGTCTCTTGACCAGCATTCTCTTGCCATGGTTATTGTACTGTGTGATGACTGCCTTTTGTGTTAAGACACCCAGAATGTTTTATCTATTAAGGTGTGTCTGGATTCGTAGAAAAACGATTATTCCTCCTTTAATCCTTTTTCTGTAGCTTTTTAAAGATGTATGGATACAGTGGTAGAAAGGAAAAAGAAAAAATCAAGTTTCTGTCTCCTATGTACTAGCTTGTTAAGCAGAGAAGCAAATGATTATTTCTTTCAGTTTGGCCCATCTTTACTGAATGACCAAAAGATGTAAATGGCTTTTGTAAAAGATAAATCATAATTCAGATAGAAAGGATAATTATTAAGAAAACAAGGTGCTTGTGACATAAGAAACTTTTCTCACTCCTATTGTTCCTCTTAAATTTGTTGTGTCTTTTTGTTTTGTTCTGTTTCAGATCTAGAAGGTTTTGACTCTGTGGTATCATCTACTGAGAAACTCAGTCACCCAACCACGAGCAGGCCAAAAGCTACGGGGAGGCGGCCGCCATCCCAGTCGCTCACATCTGTAAGTGCTCCTCATCAGATCTCCTTATTTCTCTACAGCTGAGAGAGGAAAAATTGAGATTGTGGCCAAGAACCCTTCTGCAAGTGGCCGATTGGAGGCACTCCAGGAGAGGGAGGCTGAGAGACACACTGCCAACTAACTGTGGTTTGAGAGTCTTCCTAAACAAGCAACGTTTCCTCCTGTTTGATTTTTGTGTTTCTGGCAGCAGGATGGCACTTCCTCCTCCCATCTTGTCTTTCCTTGTAGACTGGCTATTGTTTGAACCTGAAATGAAATTGATAAGAAAAAAATGTGATGTTTTACAACAGGAAAAGGAGAACAATGATAGTTTGGTGGATAAACAAGACAAAGTTTTAATAATTAATAATCTTCCCCTGAAAGGTTCCAGGCAGGCGCTTTTATCTCCCTGCGCCCCATCCCGGCCAACAGTGTGGAGCATTTGCTCTTTATCTCATCTCCACCGGCAGCAGGTGTGGATTCCAGGGAAACATGCCTACCATCTTCAAGGACTGCTACCAGCACCTCTACTAGACCCATATTCATTGCGTAAAGGAAATGGTATCCCAGTTGAAGGGATAAGGAAAACTTCTAGCCAGTTCTGTACATATCAATACAAGCAAGTGGGGTCAGGCTCAGCCAAAATGCAGACAATTGCTCCTCTTTCAAGGAGAGTCACCCAGGTAGTCCTCCAAACAAGATGGTATTTGTAAACTTATAAGTAGCTGATCATGTGGAAGAGACCAATCAAAATGTTTGTGATAATCCATAGAATTTTTGCTTGGGTAATTTTAACAAACTTGTTACTACAAACCCATCACACATTTATTGTACCAGATTTGAACATTGCAGTGCATAAAGAAGTAAGTGACCTGTCTCTAGTCCTACTCTCACAGCAAAGAATGTTAACTTCTTGCTGTACATCTTTTAGCTTTTTAAAAATTTCATTTTGTACATAAAAATCATTTCTTCAAAAGTGAAATCATATAATAATGCACATTGTTTGAGAATTTACTTTTCCTTCTTACAGTGTAATTGTTAACCATTCTTCCAGAACAATGCACGTAATGCCTGCCTACTAATGTGTGAATATGGGTATATGAGTGTGGGAGGTTTTTTCTAGCCAGCCTATTATTATTAAATGTTTATGTTGTTTTCAGTTCTTCATTATAAGTGAAAGTCACTGTAGAAAAATATGACGTTGCTCCAAAATTATTCACTTAGGTAAAACTTTCGGAAAATGCGTGCTTTGCTTTTGCCATAGGTTGAATATGCCCCCTCGACAAAGGTTAAATTTGCATTTCACGAGCGGTGTTTGTGTGTTCATACATTTGTTCATTTTACATATTACCTGTCTATCTATCTGGTGTGTTGCCTTGTGCTGACTGCTCTAAAGCCTTATGAGCTTCATCCAGATACATCGGGGAATTAAATTTTTACAGGTTTCCGAAGACACTTTCTCTTTTCACCCCATTACTAATCCCACCTAAGTTGTCACCACTCAAAAGAAAAAGAATGCCACTTCATTTGAGCCTCTTCTCTCAGACTCTCTTGAGTCTGCAAGTATGATTTGAATCATCCTGTTCTTCCTTTTCATATGACAAACCTCTTTGTGATGACACCTTTGAGAGAAAGACTTCAAAAGGCGGCTTCCTTTTTCACTCTTCTGTAGAGTTCTGTGACAACACTGCCTTCTTTCCACTTGTCCACTCTGTCCGCTCCTCACCCCAACATGTACATATAACAACCTATTTCATTGATTCTTAGCATCTCTACAGTTTGATTTCTTAATCGTACCTTTTACATCTTCTCTGTACATCCCTTGTCATTTTTGTTTTCCTTTGAAATTCTTCCCAACTTTTCAAGGTTTAGAGAGCCTTGTGGCTTCCATAATTAAATGCGGAGGTTCAAATTGCCATCGCTCCCTTGGTATACATATCCTATGTCTAGGACTTTGTGTGTATTTGGGAGATCAAGTAAAAGCATCTCATCTTCACCCTGATTTTAGGCTATATGGTTATTCGTTCACTCAACAAATATGTGAAGACATTTATCACCTGCGAACTGGATACTTTCATGTACTGTGCCAGGTACTAAGGCACAGCTGGAAATGAGTAGTAGTACACAGTCACTACCTGCAGGAAGTTTATGATGCAAGACTTGAAGTTTGGCATTTGTATAAGGAGTTATTGGGGGTGCAGATTTACAACAGTAAGATACATATGTGCTTAATGGAGTATCATGACCCTGCTCTCATCTCTTTATTTCCATGTGCCCCCCACTTGGATATGAACACTGAATTCCTATTTACTCTTCTTGCAGTTAGTACCAGAGGTTTTTTAACAACAAAATAGGATTAATGGATGAGGCCATAATTTCTGAAAGGCTACTAGAAAGAATGATTGAGGAAATAAGCCAATTTTGATTCTTCTGCTTGGGGCCATTCACCTTAATTAAAGCTATTTATGTTTACAGGGTAGAAAGAGGAAGCTTTGACTGGCAGCTCACATGACATAGGTTGTGCAGGAGGAAATGGGCTTTTGGAATAAAGTCACAAAATGAAAGCACCCAGCACTGAATGGTGGTTAAGCAGTTAAACCTAAATTAATAAGAAAGCTTAGTTGGCAAAGGTATTATTTTAGGTGATTGGATTTTCAGGTCAATTGAAGACTTATAAATAAGACCTCTTATAAAGTAAAAGTTGTTTTTAAAAATCCCTAAAATATATTAAGTTTCTGCCTTAGTAAGTAAACACAAGAAGATAAACAATGGTGATTCTAAAAAGGACTATTTTTCTGCCACCAGAGTTGAAAGCAGAGGGATGAGGCTGAATGTAAACTCACTAGAAGATACCTCTGGATGATTCCTTATTATAGAAACATTTATTTTCACTTGCTTTGTTGTGAAATAAAGATATTCTTGTATAGGATTCATTCCTGACCAAGTTAGTTCTAGTGAATTGGTCCCCATTCATTCAGCTATTTTATCTTCACAGTAAGGGAGAAAAGACAGGGATGTCATCCCATATTTTACCTAAAGGTAAATATATTTTATGTCAAAATATATGGTAAAATATGTCATCCCATATTTTACCATTCTGTAAATATATTTAACAAACAGACTCCAAAGTGGATGTTGGCTGACGGCAGTAACTAGGGCAGACATCTCTCAGCAGGTACCAAAGAAAAGATGAACTTGTTGCACTAGTAGGCAGGGCTGCACTTTCAAACTGAGGAAAGTCTCCCCTCTGGTCCGTGAACCTCCTGGTCCCTTGCCTCCAGAAATGGTCTCCTTCAGACAAGTCTTTTAGGGCACTTAAGCATGTAGAAGAATTTGTGATCCTGGAAAGAAGGGAATGAAGGGGGCACAGGAGGAGAGGCAGCTTCCTACAGGCTATGTGTTCTTCCCACCAGACTACCAGCCCTTTAAGAGCAGGGACCATGTGGGGCACGTTACCATTAGGTCTGCAGTACCAGCCTTAGTGTGGGGCATACCACAGAGAAAGAGAGAAAGGAGGGAGGGAGCAATAAAGGATGGACAATGAATTCTTGCAGGGATGCAGTGATTGATGTGAGTTGGGGGAGTAGCCCTAGTTTAGGACACATCACTTCTTGGTCACAGGCCTGCCACTAACCGGCTGTATGATGATCTCTAGTACACAGACAATAGCATGCTTTCTGCCTCAGCAGGTGTTAGTGAGGAGACAGACAAGCTAGAAGTGTCATGTGCTTTGAGAAGCATACAGGAACATATTAACAAAAGCTGTGTCACCCGAGGTATGATTCTGACAAAAGCATTTTCTTTTGACTTTATCCAGTCTTCCCTTTCAAGCCCCGATATCTTTGACTCCCCAAGTCCCGAAGAAGATAAAGAGGAACACATTTCGCTTGCGCACAGAGGACTAGACGTATCCAAGAAGACTTCAAAGACTGTTACCATATCCCAAGTGAGTGACCAGCCAGGGCAAAGTGTCCCGGCCCTTCCATGCATGTGCTAACATGGGTTATAAACCAAACGAGGATATACAAACAATGCAGGTGTTTGCCATTATTTAGTGACTATGATTACTTTAGTCACCAAATCCCCGAGGCCTATTAGAGTCTCCAAAATGGAGCAGGATCCCTGAGACACAAATTGCCTTGCTTATTTCCCTTGTTTCTCTTCATGCTGTCACATGCACATGCACAAATGTCCACATACCCTACCCTACCCACACAACCCACACAGCCAAGACCACTTGAAAGGCCATGAAATGTCTAGAGAGACTACCTTCAATATATTAAATGCTGTGCCTTCTTCTCACAGATCTTGTCTTTCATGTTTAAAGCTTGCCAAAAATTATAATTGGGAGATCATAAATATGAATAACTAATATAGTCTTTTCAAGAAAAGCTGAGTTTATGTTCATATTCTAGGATAAATTATAATCTAAAAGATATTGATTTCCTCACATGCCCAGGGAATGTCAGGGAATAGTATAGCGGCTTTAGCTTATTGACTTGTGAGAACGAGACAAATAGAAGCACACACCTCTAGTCCCACCAACTCAGGAGGCCGAAGTAAGAGGATCACTTGAGCCCAGGAGCTGGAAACTAGCACAGGCTATATAATAGCACGACCCTGTCTCAAAAAAAAGGAGAAGAGGCTGGGGGTGTAGCTCAGAAGTAGGGTACTTGCTTAGCATATAACAGTAGCATGGGCAAGGACTGTGTTTGATCCCTAGCACTAGGAGAAAAAAAGGCATTGTTTGGCTACTACATGCAACTTCTGAAGAGGAAACACCACATGTAAGTGTTAGTTTTCCTATAAATATAAACCAAGATTTTAAAATTCCATTTTTCCCCTGTTAAGTAAGCCAAGTCAATTTCAATTTCTTCAGAATATTAGCAATTTCTTCCCGCCTAAAATCAGAAAATTGCAGTCATTTGAAACAGAAATTAGTACAAAGAAGTCTAAGAGTATGTGAGATATTCTTTCTTATAGATTTAAGAATTTGGCTTTAAGAGTATATAGGCTTTTCTTAAAAATCAGGTACAGTACACAAAATATGATCCTATAAAACATCGATTTTAATTACCCAGAAAACCAAAACATTCTTTCTTTATAAAGGATTCCATTTACTGAAATTGGATTTAGACTTTTTTTTTTCCTTTTTTTTTCCTGGTGACCATAGTATACTTTATAGTTTTACTTTCATTGTCATCCTTGGCATGTCTCCACAGTGACATCTTCTGGTGGCAAGTGGCTTTCCATGTTTCTCAGTTACCAGTTCTTTTAGCCCATTTTACTTCCCAGGATTTGCCAGGTGTTTTTCATTGCTTCTAGAAATTCCACTTGAACTAATTTGATCAGGGGATGTGGTAACCTATACTTTGTGAAGCTTTAAAAAGTACTTGCTAGCAGAAGTGAGCCAGGAGAGTCAGTCATACAGGCAATGCCAAAAGAAGTATCTGTAAGTCAATCAGGTTGGGACATTGGTGGCCATGAGAGCTACTGAAGGATGTAACATAGCAAATAGAAGAAGGCATAAGCCCAGGAATAGGTATTCAGCAAAGAAGACAACAAGAGAGCATAAATCTTCAGACGCACGTAGCCACAATCATGGTGCTGGGCTGAGGGATCTGATTGACAGTGAAAGGACTATATCACAGTTGTGCTAATGATTAGCTCTGAGACTTGGGGAGTTACTCAACCAGTTCTCTAAGTCTCAGTTTCTTTGCTTGGTAATATGCTTGTGCTAGCTGATCCCTGCTGAGGTCCAGCATGTATCAGGGTTCCATAAATGTCAGTTCCTCTTCCCGCGTACTATAACTCCTACTAACCACAAAGTCTGGGCTGGTGAAGTGCTTTCGCTGGCAGCAGAGAGTGCTTTTCCTGTATAGTAACTTGGCAGAGAAGAGGTGAGCAGAGAGGCTGGAAATGATGGCCCATCTGCTTTTGGCTCACTCTGCCCAGTCTGCCTCTAGCAAAGCCTGAATGTAGATTCTACCTCATCATTGTTGTGCCAGCCAAGCCCCTTGGCACCTGCTCCTGAGGTGGCTGGCTGGGCGCCTGTTGCTGGAAGGAGTCCCATGGCTATAGGGCCAAGCTTCACTGTGGGCTTCAGCTTTTGCCCTGTCACTCATCCCCTTACCTCCCAAAATCTACCCCACTACTTCACCTCCTTGCCACCTGCCCACCAACTCACATTCCCTTGACAGGATCTTCTCCCTAGGCCTATCAGGTGCCACTCTTCCTCCCATCTAATACAGTGCTATGCCGTGTGCCCTCCTGGCTTCCTTGGGACACTTCTCCATCAGGCCTCCCTCACCTCTCTTTACCCCATCTTCAGCTTTTCTGTCCAAAACAAAACTTCCTTGACTCTGTCTCATCCTGAGGCTTCTCTATCTTTCTCCATCTTCCTTCCTTGGCCAAGTTTCTGGGAAGCTTTCAATTTACCAGCCACACTCCTTACCTCCTATTCAGAAACCAGTCTGTCACACTGGGTTTTATCTCCCTTGCACCACCAAATGGTCTCCTTTGTTTTCCTTTTAGCACCTTTGATACCCTTATCTAACAGTTTTTTTCTTTCTGGAAACTTCTGCAGGGGGCTTCCATAACCCAGCCTCCTCTACCATCCTGCTTTGCTTCCTCTCATTATTCTTCTCCAGTTTTCAGGGGCTTTCTCTCCTTCTCTCCTTGCCTCTTCCATTTAGGAATTCTCAGGTTCTGCCATTGATCTGTTCACAGTTTCCATTTCCTTTTACTCAGCTCACTCTTACTCAATGACTGTGCCACTCAATAGACCATCCCTTAGCAATCCCTCAACCTCCTAAAACTTCAAGGTAAAACAAATATCTGGGCCTTCGATCTTTTCTTCCTCCCAGGAAAGGTGCATTGTCAATGTCTGTTTCTTCCCTCCCCATGCATAGCTCTTGATCTGTACTTCCTGTTTCACCCTCTACAACCTACCCAGGACCTCATCTCCCTGGTCGTGGGCTGTCTGCTTCATGAGGGCACGGACCGCATCAACATCACCCACTTTCTACCCTGGGATCCAGAATGATGCTCAGTGCTCTTTGTTAGATGCCTCTGCTTTTTCTGTATCTCTCAAAGTTGTCCTTTTTGTTTCTAGCTCGCCATTCAGGCTTTCATGGTATAAGATTTTCCCAGCAGTCCTGCCACTGCTTAGGCCTTTCTGCAGCCAGAGTGAGCATTTAGTAGAACACACAATCATGTTCACTCTTTCCCCTGCCCCTTCTCCCTTCCAGCTTTATCTTTTCTTCCTAGCTCTCTCCTGCCCCCTCTTGCCTCCTAGCCTTGCTTCCACTAATGCATTTTACTTTCTGGTCTCTAGGCCTTTGCCTAAGCAGTGGTGGTGAACCAGTGACATGCATGTCACAGCAGGCATGCAGAGCCCTCTCTGTCAGCACATGAGCCAAGGGGATGAATTGTTTTCCAACTAAAACCTCAGTATTCAGGTTTAAATGCAGTGTTGGCACTTTTCAATAAAGTGGATTTGGGGTTGCAGTTTGGGTACTCAGTCTCTACAAGGTTTGCCCTCCCTGGCCTAGGGCCTTTCCTCCTCCTTCAACTTCTTTCTCTAACCATGTCTCCTTTTTTCAGGCCCTCTCCAATATGAGACTGTCATCTGCTTTTACCTGCTGCCTTCGCTCTGAGATGGTTGGCCCTTTGATGTTTCTGGGGTGCTCTGTGCTTCCTCCCTCTTGTGCAGTCTTCCCCCTCATCTGCAGTGTGTTGGCTTGTCTGTCCATCTGTACTCTACATTCTACTGTGTTCCAAGCTCCCTGAGGGCTTAAGAGTTTGTGGTGACTGGCAAGCAGTTAGCCATCTCTCTTGTGTATGTGAAACCAGTCCAGAATGTTTTATCTAGAAAGAAAATCAAAGTCAAAATATGTTCAGGAGGGGCTGGGGAGATGGCTCAGTGGAATGCGCGCTTCCTTGGCAAGTGCAAGGGCCTGAGTTCAATCCTCAGTTCTGCAAAATAAATAAATAAATAAATAAATAAATAAATAAAATAAAAATATGTACAGGAGGGCCAGGGAGATGGCTCAGTAGAAAAAGCGCTTCACTGGCAAGCGCAAGGGCCTGAGTTCAATCCGTGGTTCTGAAAAAAAAAATGTACAGGCAATTGCTATGTAGGGAATGTCTGGACCAAGTCAGGTCTTGGTGGCAGATGGATGAAGGAATGAGTCGAGTATGTGGATAGAGGTGGGGACAGGGGTGTAAAAGCAGGGTATGACTCACAAGGATAGTCAAGTACTACACACAGATCCCTGGCTCTGAAGCCTCTCCACCTTCCCTTGTCACAGGTGTCCGACAACAAGGCATCCCTGCCACCCAAGCCAGGGATCATGGCAGCCGGCAGTGGTGGACCAGCCTCTCTGGCCTCAATGGTTTCCTCCCCCATGTCATCCTCTTTGGGAACAGCTGGACATAGAGCCAACTCCCCATCTCTATTTGGCACGGAAGGAAAACCAAAGATGGAGGCTGCAGCCAGCAGCCGGGCAGCTGTGGAGGAGCTAAGGACACAGGTCCGTGAGCTGAGGAGCATCATTGAGACCATGAAGGACCAGCAAAAGTGAGTTCTTGGGGACCTTTTGCAACAACTTCACAGATGGCTGTCCACTGGGCCAACACCTGGTTCTGAAATCTTGGGTCTCACCTTGCCCCAGAAATTCAGCCAGGCCTCGCCACTGATGGTGGCAGTAGCAGTAGGAGTGAATATGGATCCTAAGAGGCTTAAAGTATACTTAAGTTATGTCATTTGTTTTTATATTCAAGCTACTGAGAAAATCAACTTATAAGGAGAAAAGGTTTATATAGTTGATCATGGAGTCAGAGGTTTCAGTTGTTGCTTTGGCTTTATTAATGTTGGGTCTGTAGTGAGGCAGAACATCATAGTGGGGAGCATGTAGTGAAGGTAACTGCTGACCTCAAGGCAGCTGGGAGGAGAAACAGAAAGGGTCCAGGGTCCTAGTGTCCAGGTCAAGGATGCACCACCAATGACTTAGCTTCCTTTAATGGGCCCTGTCTCCTAAAGGTTCTATCATTTCCCAGTAGCACCATGGGCTGGTGACCAAAACACACAAGTCTTTGGGAAACATTTAATATCCAAAGGTACAGTACACCAGTATGTATACCACTTTTTTTTTTGGCGGAACCAGGGGTTGAACTCAGGCCCTTGCACTTGCCAGGGAAGTGCTTATTCTACTGAGCTGTCTCCCCAGCCCCTGTATACCACTTCTTAAATAACTTCACCAGCCAGCTTTTCTTCTAGCATTTAAAAAATTGCAACTTCTTTATTTAGCTGCCAGTTGAAGTAATTGGCCTGCATTAAGGAGTTGTTACATGTGAAGAAGATGTAGAGAATCTTAACTGAGACTTTACACTCAGCAAGATATTCTCACTCTGAGACTTAGAAGTCTTTTTCCATTCAACACATTCTTGTTGCATCTCTCATCCTCAGGGAAAGCTTGGGTGGACAAAAAGACCTGTGAGCAAAATAAATATCATTTATCTATATCACTTGGTGTCCTAATCACTTTTTATCTCTGAACACAATACCTGACACACACAACTTAAAGGAGGACAGGTTTATTTTGGCTCATAGCTTTTAAATGATTCCGTCTACAGTTGGCTGGCTCCAAGGCAGAAGTGGCACGGTAGAAGGGCCTGGTAGAGGGCCACTACACATGTCATTGTGACCACCAGGAAGCAGAGAGTGAAGAGAGAAACAGGGGAGGGAGATACACCCTTTGTGGTCACGCCCCCATTGACCCACCTCCATTGAGTAGACCCTACCTCTGACATCATATTCAGTTCTGAACCGTTAAGTGGATCAAACCACTGATAAGTATAGTGACCCCATGATCCAATCATCCTCCAAAAGCCCTACCTCTGACATGAGCCTTTGGGAGGGGGACAGTATAGATCAGTGATGGTGAAGCCTTTAGAGCTTTCAGTGATAACAAACACCCCACTGCGGCACACATGCCATTGGTTCACCACACTGTTCTAGATCTAAACCGTAGCACCTGGAAAGTTGTTTGCAATGACAAGTCTGGGAGAAAAGTTGGCTGTAGTTGGTACTTACCTGAGGAAACCAAGGTTTAGAGAGTTTAGAGATCAGTTAGCTCTTTGTTGAGGGAATCAGAGGAGACATCTCCAGGCATTTTCTGGGTAGAATTTTGAAAGATAATCTAGGATTGCCAAGAGCAGAACACTCCAGCATAGAGAACAGCATTCAGATTCATAGGTGCATGGAATAAACTGGTTGGTGAGCACATCCCCTGGTACCTGGCCACCTTGGATGGATCAAGAGGTTCAAGAGATCATGCTAGAGATCTATAGTTATGCCCTCAGTCAGGGGCTGGCAGAAGCCCTGTCACCTGTCTCCCCTTACAGGTATGCAAGCACTAAAGTGTTTTTGCAGTCAAACACTTTGCAAGTATCTGGGTTACAAAAAGTTAATTCCTTCTCTGAATAGTGCATGCATTATTCCCCAAATGTACTTTAATTACAGAGACCTTTTATTCCAGAGAATCCTAGGAATAGGTTTTAGTGGGACATGCTTTGAGCAATGTGGCTCTAAGCATGTTTTGTTCTACTGAAGCTAGATCATGTCAGATAAAATTGGGGCCTCGTATACCAACTTCCTGACTAGAAAGAAACTAATGAGATAAAACATGTAGAACTGGCAGGATGGAACCTAAAAAGTTTTGCAGGGGGCTCTCCAGGTTGCCTTAGTCCTTACAGTACTTAGCACCTCTGGTGCTGAATGTTGTAGATTTGAGTACCCAAAGGCCAGCCCTATGTCCAGGCAATATGCCCACTTTGCTTAGACAGTGATTTTATGGCTCCATGACATCCCAGTACATTGATTCTCAGCATTCTGAATAGGAATGTAATTTAGTTGCATCCGAAATTTTGACCCCTTGCCTACATCCAGGACTTTGACCCCGTGCACCCTCTGAGAAGTTCTTGGAAACCACCTACATGTCTGAAATGGCCTGAGCTTGCCACTAAGCATGCCTCAAGCATGCCTCTGAGCAGAGAGCCATCTACGCTTTGAGGTCTGAGAATAATTGGCTGGAACAATTTCTCCCTTCCCAGCCAACATCATCTTGAATAAACACCTCACAACAGGCTCTTTGCCCAAGCCTCCCTCTTCCAGCCTTCTTCAGCCTAGTCTTCATGCCTAAGATCAGTCGATCCCCACCAATCTCCTACTTTGCTCTTAGTGTCACTTTCCTTTTAAGATTCAACTCATGGCTGAGGATACAGCTCAGTGATATAATGCTGGCAAGTGTGAGAGAGTTTAATTCCTGCTACAACAACAACAAAAGATTCACCTCATGTCTGTGCCAGCTCTCCTTATCCCTAAATGTGCTCTACATTCAGAGAGCAGCTCATCTCCCTGATCTTCCCTAGATATTCCCCTGGCTTCCTTGCTTTTTATACACTTATACCTGTTTTCACTAGTTCAAAGTTTAGTGATTTTCTTTGGACCACCTTACCCAACTAATTTCCCCCTGATCCATACCAGTCAAAGCTTTATCTTCCATAGTCTGCAATTGCTTTAGGGTCTTACCTTCTACTTCTTTCCTAAGGCCTAAGTGGTGCCCAGTGAGATACAGATGTGTATGTGTATGATAGTGAATCACAAATAGTTGATACCGGAGAAGCCAATATGTTAACAGCAGTGCCAGGACACTATCCTAAGTGTAATCACTGTCAAGGTGTTCATCTAAAGTGAGAAAACACAGTGTTACTGCTACTTTATTTATTGTGCTATTTCTACAATCTTTGTTTTTTATTTTCTAACCCAGTTTGTAGAAACATACATGTAAGGGCCAGCCAAATAGCTCAGTGGATTAAAGCTCCTGCAAGCAGGTACAGGGGCTGGGGGTTCGATCCCCAGGCCTGCCATGTCAGCCCTGCCCCCGCAGCATGCTGAGACAGAGATTGAGACTGGGTGTGGCAGTCCGTGCCTGTAATCCCAGCTCTTGGGAAGCTGAAAACAGGAGAATCACTATGAGTCTGATCTATATAGTGAGACTCTGTAGACCCTTCCTAAATACATAAAATATAATAAAAAAAGAAAGTCAGAAAAGGTATTTGGTAGTCACTCCAAATATTATGTATCCTTTCAGACATGATTGTTATACTGTTGGTTCAGTTATTTCATCTCCATGTTTTGGGATCTAGTTGTAAGATTTTATGAGAATCAGTGAAAACATAGCAGATAGCCTTTTTATTACAAAGAAGGAAGTATCTGTAGATTGGTGAAAAACATTAAGTAATTATATTTGAAACCCAGTGATTCTGTTAGGAAGAAATAATTAGAGGGAAAATGATGGAGTATGAGCTTGTACACCTGGAATCTAGTCATTGGACAAGTTACTACCATTCTGGGTCGTAGTTTCTCCATCTTCTCCTTTTGGGAGAAGTTTGGACTAAGGCAGCTCAAAGGTCACTTCCAGACCTACCAAATGATGGCTGCATATTTTGGTGACCCCAAAATAATGCCAAGCCTTTTTTTTTTGAACTGGGGATTGAACTCAGGCCCTTGCGCTTGCCAGGCAAGCACTTATTCTACTGAGCCTTCTCCCTGACCCATGCCTTTCTGTATGAAACTAATCTTAAGCAAAAATAATACAAATATGTTTGGCCCACATTTTCTGTGTAAAAAGGTCACATGGATAGTGACACAGGAGGTTTCTTTTCTCCTCTTGGGGAAATTTGGGCTTTTATTTCATTGTATTGCCATTTGCTTTTCAGACGAGAGATTAAGCAGTTACTGTCAGAATTGGATGAGGAAAAGAAAATCCGACTTCGGTTACAGGTGAGTCCCTCAGGGTCCCATTGCCTTTGAGTCCTGGACTCATCTGGGGGCAGAAACAGAATCTTTTAAAGATAGAAGACTCTTAATTCTCTGCAGATTATGCATGCTTTCTGTGGCAATCCCCTTAGAATTATAGAGACATTACCCATACTTTCCCAAGCTCCAGGAGGTCTTGCGGAAGGTGAAAATTAGTAAACACTCCCCCCGTTGGGCTTCTTATTCCGAATTTATCTTACACATCTCTGTGAAAGGCTCCCTCCTATTTTCAGGAGGCTTTACTGTAGTAACCACCAGATGATATGGCAGTTGACTTCTGTCATGTTGTCATTGGCACTCCAGGGACCGCAGCTGTCCACCCTTGGTCTTTTCAACCCTTTACTTCTTCCTGATGCCTTATGTCAGTCCTTCTGGGGCATCCAAGCTCTAACCCCCTACCCTGGCCTCTAATTCACCTCTACCATGACTGGATGGTGGAGAGTATACAGATATTCCAGGTGACCAAAGTCACCTTTCAGCTTACATCTATTTGGTTCCATTGGTGGTGACTGGGACTGATGCTGCTTAAAGGATAGATAACTATTTACTATTATTTTGGGGGTGCTAGCACACATACTTGTGGGTCAGCCACAGCTGCCTTCTAACACTGTTAGAGAGTCCAGCATTTCAGGACAGCTTGCTTTAACCTCTGGCTAGGAAAGTAGAATCATTGCTGCTTTTGACAAACTTTATATCCTAGTAGACTGAGAATTAAAATATCTACCATGTCCTAGTGAATCATGACTGTGAGCCTGTTCTTTAGTCATGTATCGTCTCTGGCACTTATTGTTTTCCAGTGTTCAATCAGATGTCATTTTACCTCTAAAACTGTCAGATTGATTATTTTCTTTCTGCTGACTAGCTTGATTATCTTTCGGCTTCTATAAAAACAGCCAGTTCAGTGTGACTTTTGTTTGATTCTTTTTCTCCTTTATAGATGGAAGTCAATGACATAAAGAAAGCCCTTCAATCAAAGTGAATACTTGATAACTGAGATGTCACATTATTCATCCTGAGTCCAAGACTCAAAATTTTCTGCCCCAGCCAAAATAATCTTGTGCCAAAAGATTAAAGGTTTGCCTCACCATGTCCCTGTTTGAAAGATTAGCACAAAAGTCTTGATAGCACAACACAAATTCCATCCAAGAGGAAAATCTTCCCCCATGGTGTAGTCCTGGGTCTGGCACTGGTTGTGACTTAGAGCAAATTGTGCTAAAGGCTTTTCTACTTTGAAATCTCATGCGAAATGAAAACTCAGGCAGTTTAGTCCATTAGTGGTACTATTTTGATGATATTTTCCATTAATAAAATGTAATTTCAGATTATTCGTTTACAAAGTTTATAATTTTATGATTTTTACTCATGTTTTGTCACAGATGCCTCTAGTATTTGTACTACACTTAGTCAGAAATGAGCATCTTGTTCTTTTGCTTCAGGTGGAAAGCTGCCTCGCTTTGTATTCCCCTTTAGGATTCTATTACATATGCAAGTTTAGGTCCAACCTGTCCCTTCCCCTGCCAGCAGACCCTGCCACCCTAAGAGAAATTTTAGCTTATATATGATGGTATATTTACAAAAAATGAAAGAGAAAATCTGGTATTTGCAATGATCTGTGCCTTCTTTTTACCACCCTCTTGATTGGAGCTTTTGTGATGCAGCTACCATGATTCAAAAAATTAAAAATAAAGAAATAAAATTCTGCCACTTATTCAAGTCCACTAGAGGCCACTGTCTTCACAGCTTCTCTCACCCTAGCCAAAGGTCCTAAGAGAAGGCAGCTGAGAAGTTGGATGTGCTCTGTGGTGCCAGCTGTGACTTTTCAAGTTTCTCCTACTTTTGGGTTGTTCACACAACTAGAAATGTTATCCCTGCTTGATTTTTCGTCAGCCAAGTTAAACCCCTGCTTCCTGTCTTTTGCACCTTTTGCGTGAACAGAATATGCATTATTAAAGCAAAAAATACAAAATAAAAGTAAAATGCAAATGAAAACAATGGGGGGGAGTTGTATTATTTCCTGCACTGGGTTATCTGTGTGTGTTATTGTTTAAAAACTGTATTCACATAATGTCATTTGCCTTGCTCACTTGTAACTCCTTGGGTCCAAGAGAATGGGAGGAGGGCCTTGTTGAAGTGTAGCCATTGGATCTTTCTTGCATTTATGGAATTGCTTTTTGCTTACCAAGGAAACTGATGTTTGCTTGTCTGGTTTATCTTTGTAGCACATGAACAGTTCAGCCTTAGACTATGTAAGACTGTTTAGGAACATACTGTATTGCAAGATTTTTCAGGGAGTGGAAGTGGAGGGGATGGTCCTGAAAGACCCCCAAACTTGTTTGATTTGTTTCTAATCAGCTGCTTTGTCTACTTCTGGAGTTTTATAGTGAAATTACTGAACATTAATAGATTTGCACAACTACAAAGAATGAGAATTGATAATACTGAAGGAATGATGCAAAAAAAATCACCACGTTATTCAGCATTGAAAGTATAACAAATAAATGTCACTTCTTTACTCTTCCTTCTCACTTCCCCTGCCTTGCTCTTGCCTGCAAGCTCATCCTATTTGTGGCTCTACCTCCTTCCCAGTATTTACAGAACCTTAATGTCCCGGTCTTCTGGGTGGAGACAGTTAAGGGACAGGAGTGTGTAAAAAAGAAGGTCACTTTCTTCATCCCCATTTCTGGATATCTTGCCATTTTAGCAGTCTTGGTCTTGGTGTGCTTGGGGCCAGGAACACTAAGGGGCAGTACAAACAGTCCTGCACCCTTTGATTGTTCCAAGTATTTCTGCATTAAACTTGAAGTGGAGATTTCCCATCATCTAATATAATAATGAGAAGTAGATTCTTCAGTGTTTGAATTTCTCATTTACTCATCAAGAAAACCCCTAATGATATAGTTTTATATAATGTATACAGAATAGGGTTAATAATTAAATTGATTGCCTTGGGCATCCTCACAGGGTAGTGGCAACGTGGAATGTAGAGGGCTGATTCTTCCCCTCGTAGAGACCACTGTCTTCCTTTGTATAAGGAAAGGGAGAAGAAATTGTAGAAAGAGAAGTTGGCATATCCAGCTTCATTATTGTCCCCTTGGGTTAACCAGCAGGAGGATTGTGCATCATGGAACTGGATGACCCATTGCCCAAAAGGCCATCATCTTTACCCTTGACAAAATGGATCCATCAAGAATATTGAAAAGCTTGGAAGTGTCACTTTTGAAAAAAAAATTCTTTTGCATTCAGCATGGACTTGACCGGGCATCTATGGAGATTATTTTTTTGCTTCATTTTCTAAAGTTGTATTTAGAAAAGTCTTAAGTATTGATTGTGCTTTGTAAAAGAAAATGATTAAAATGAAATTTTGTGAAAAATATTTTTGTTCAAAGTTGTCATGGTCCAAGAGGAATGATTTCTTGGCATACAAATCCTTTTTCTCCATTTGACACAATTTTATTACTCCTATAGAAAATCCTTAGACTCACATGAAATAATCCATTGAAATCTGTGTCTGTGAATTGTATTTTTAATTGCTCAATTTTACATTCCTATCCAAGTATAAAATGGTAGCTAGACATTCTTATTTTAGTGTGAAACCATTGATTATCATTATCTGAATAATTGTGTAAAGCCACTTTTATTTGTACAGAGCCCACTAGGTAGCACTCTCAAGTACCTAATTTTTCTCCCATGAGAACATCCTATATCAGCGTGTGTGTGTGTGTGTGTGTGTGTGTGTGTGTGTGTGTGTGTAGCTAGTAATGGTGGGTTTTATTTCCTTTCATAAGCAGTTCCTTAATGGGGAAACTGCAGGGTGTATACTGTATTGCTTACAGCTGTCATGGTCTGTATAAAAATAATGCCCAGGTCCCACAACTGCTCTAATTACCTGAGGTCATCATGGTCCCCCTTTTTTGTTAGATTAGCTTTTAGTAATTACTTCTGTATATTAATGTCAAGTTGTTTCAGCACCATGAGAGCTTGATTAAAAGCTTTTCCTTTCAATTTTATACAGATGAGAACCAGAACAAGGCAATGCGTGTGGGGGTGAGCAGGGCTGTGTGGCTGATTGTGGCATTAAACAGGAAAGATGGGTACTTATGGTCTGACATGGGGATCAAGATCCTGTTCTCAACTTGGCAAGGACCAAGATGGAGAAAATTTTCTCGCCTATAAAAATGGTAGTGGTATAAAGACTGATGGGGAATCTACTCTTAAAAGGATGAACCTTGCCAATCATTCCTACTTCTGCATGTAAGTTGACTTTAAGAGCTGGTTCTCAATGCATAGATCTAGTGCTTGAAGCCAATGAGAACTCAGGTCTCTTCATGGTTTGCTACTCTACCCCAGACTGAAGTGGCCAAGAGGCAGCCCCTTTCTGCATACAACATTGTGTACTTGTCCTGTTTGTGAAACTTGGAATTCACAGAAAGAAGGGGTATTCCTTTGTTGCTGGGGCAATATGTGAGAACTTATTTCAACCAAACAGCAAGGTGATCAGTAAAATATTCTGAGGAAAAAATAGAATGAAAAAACAGCTAGGAGCTAGGGAGATAGCCTAGCGGTCTAAGCACCTACCTGGCAAGTGCAAGGACCTGACTTTGATCCCTGATACTGCATGCTATGCCTGCCCTGGAACCCTGGGTTCACAGTGCTGGCCACCTAAACAGCGTGGTGCCACACATCTGTAATCCCAGCACTTGGGGAGGCTGAGACAGGAGGATCTCTATGAGTCTGAGCTGCATAGCAAGACCCTGTGCCAAATAAATAAATCTGTGCTACTCTGGTTTCTCTTCAGATCATATAAATCTTTCACCTTTTACCAAATAAATCAATAATTAAAAAGAACAGCTAAATTTCATGGAGCCATTCTTTTCAAGTGGCAAGAAGTTTAATTAAATTATGGAGATATAGCAGTCATTTGAGTTTTGAATGCTTTCTTACCCTACCTATTCCTATAGAATATTTCTAGTTCTCTGGAAAAATAAGGTTTGTTGGTCAGCTTTGAGTTCTTTGATGGGAAAGTGCCCTGAAAATGAAGTCTTCATTGTACTTTCTATTAATAAAAATAAGTTTGTTTTGTTTTGTTTTGGGGTTTTTTTTGGGAAGGGTCGGTCTACAGGGTGTTTAGGGTCTTACTACTATATCGACTCATAGTGATCTGCCTGTTTCCAGCCTCCCAAGAGCTGGGATTACAGGCATGCAACACCATGCCCAGTCTAAAATGGTGGTTTATCTTTTTTTTTCTTTCTTTTTTTTTTTTTGGCCAAGCCCAAAATAAGTTTTAAGAGGTTTTCTCACTAAGTTTTAATTTTTTTTAAAATTATTTATTTAGTATAGGGTTTTGCTATGCAGCTCGGGCTTGTGGTGATCCTCCTGTCTCAGCCTCCCCAGCAGTGGGGTTATAGGCATGTGCCACCACATCTGGTTTTGGAGGCCGGCATGGCATGCAGTATCGAACCCGGGTCCTCACGCTTGCCAGTCAAGTGCTTAGACTGTCAAGCTATCTCCCCAGCCCCTCTCCTAATGTTTAAACTAACCAAACTGTTAAAACTATCTTCAAGCCCAGCAGAAAAAAAGAAGATATCAATAGTATTTTCAGGGTTATCCCCCAAAGAAAAGCTAAGGTATCTTAGAAGGAGAATGGATTCCTTTCAGGCTTCATGATTATTTCTTGGACTCAGACTTCTGAGAAAATTAAGAAGTTGGATGTGGCTGAAGCTCTGCCATTAAATATTGAAGGAAGACAGAGAAGAGAGATTGAACACTCGCATGACATGCCCACCCATGTCCCTGCCTTTGTCCTACAAGTCACTTAGAAATGTTCTTGAATGCTCTCAGGGCAATCTCCTTAGAGGAAGTAAGTCCAGAATGAGAAGGGCATAGAGGGGGAAGAGTCTCAGAAGGAATTCTTAGGGGCAGTATTGAGAGAGTGGGCTCTACCTCTGCAGACTTTTCCTTAGGGTGCCCCCATCTCATTCTCATAGGAAGAATAAGGGATATCCTTAAAGTTTATAGATCAAGGGCCAGAGAGATAGCTCAGCAGATTAAGAGCCTGCTTAGGCAAGCACAGGGACTGGGGTTCGATCCCCAGCACCACATGCCATGCTGGCCCCAGGCCACTGAGACAGCGTGGTGGCACACACCTGTAATCCCAGTGCTGGGAAGGCTGAAAACAAAAAGATCACTCCAAGTCCAAGCTGCAGAGTGAGACCCTGTAGCAAACACATTTAAAAAGGTCTATAGACTGATAACACTAGTGGACATCCACTGCAGCCTGGGCAAGAGAATGGGGGAATCTACACCGGGAAGACAGAAAGCCCACAACATACTCAAAACTGAAGCTTGGAATATTTGAGAACTTCCTCCCCTCCAGGACTACTTGTGCTCCATCGACACTAGCAATCTTCCAGGAGAAATAGTAAACAGAGCTGCAAGAGATAGACTTTGGGCATCAGCACAATGGGAAGGCCAAAAGCCGATAGGGGAGACAAAAGCAAAATCACCAGAGGAATGAAGGTTCTGGTGTCTACAGGAAAACAAACAGTAGCACAGCCCAACTCCCTGGCTAGATTAGCATGAAGTCCCATACTATAGGTTTATTTGCCTCAGTATCTGTTGCCCTATATAAAATGCCCACTTTTCAAGAAAAAATTACAGTGCATGCCAAAGCATAAGAAAAATAGTTTAAAGAAACAAAGCAGCGATCAGGATTAGACCTAGAAATGGCACAAATATTGGAATTATCAGAAAAAAATTTTAAAGTGTTATGTTAAAGGCTCTTGTGATAAAAATAAATGCTGGTAAGATAGTTTCAGCAGAGATAGAACTGTGAGATTCAACTGGCTAGAAATGTAAAAGTAACAAATGAATATCTTTGATAAGGGCTGAGGAGATAGCTCAGCGGCTTAAGCACCTGCCTGACAAGCACAAGATCATGAGTTTGAATTCTGGTACTGCAAAAAAAAGAAAGAAGAAAGAAAGAAAGAAAGAAGAAAGAAAGAAAGAAAGAAAGAA